ATGAGCAAGATACAATTTTTGTCAGCATGAATGAGTTGCATTGTAATACATGTGACATGGCAATATAGAAGTATATAATTGGATGATTTCCTCTTTTATTATTGTTGTACTGATTATTTAAGAATCAATTTTTAGTTTTCTTAGTTAAAATTTAAGAAACAATTTTTATATTACAATAAAAATTTCACCTTAAGAACCCATAATAATCATGACTCACCAAATCTGTTTGGATTCTTTTTTGGATAAAAAGTTTCTCTCTCCCTTTTTTTTGGAGCAACTTTCTCTCTCCTCATCTTTGTTTTTAATTAGCCATGTTCTTTATGTGAACTCCAGCAGCCACAAATTACGGCAAAACACAGCAAACAACGCTAGCCTGTTTTTCTTAACGCAGCGGTTGATTGTGAGGAATAGAAAGACGCTGAATATTCCAGCGGCGACGGCTACTCGTATTTTGTACTTCAGGCAATTCACTAGCGGCCATTTTTATTTTCCGTGGCGTTAAGTTTGTTTCGATCGCAGTGTAATTTTTTGTCGCTGCCGCCGGTTTCAGCGTTCTCATAACGAACAGAGCTAATTTATTACTTGGGCTTATATGCTAAAGTCCATTATCCAAAATCCAAAAAAACAAAAAACAGCCAACGCTGTATAATCATTTTCCTCACCGGTTTAACTCGTTGCCGAACCGTATCCACCACTTACTCTCTCTCTCTCTCTATCTTCTCTACGTAATGATTGTCTATTGGTCATTAGCCAAGCATTCCAAGACCAAGAATCTTTTTAAAGACAAAACAATACCTTAGTTGTCAGAAGCTGACTCACGTCACCACCACATCAAACCCATTACATAAAAATGTCTCTAGCGTCAATTATATGCTAGATTCACGAGACCCAATCATAAAAAGAACTTGCTTTCCTCAGAAACTAAGTTCCATCGAAAATGGGTAGAATCAGTTTAGTGGTATCTGATCTGGTTCTGTCGTTCATGTGGATATGGGCAGGAGTTCTGGTCAACATCTTAGTCCACGGAGTACTCGGGTTTAGCCGGAAGGACACGACCGGCGATATCGTCAGATATCTCTTCTCCGTCGTCTCCATGTTCATCTTCGCTCTCCTTCAGAAACTCACCAACGGTGGACTTTACAACCCTTTGTCCGCTTTGGCTTCTGGAGTCTCCAAAGGATTCGGGAGCTTCGTCTTCTCCGTCGTGGTTCGAATCCCCGTCGAGGTTTGCTTCGTTGACTTTTTCTTCTAGATGGAATCATAAAGTCTCTGTTTTTTAAAACTCAGTGTTCTGGGGCTTGTGTGTTGACCTTTGTTCTAATGTCTCATAAAAGCCTTTGTCTTGGAGATCTTTTGCTGCATGTTGTGTAATAAAGTTGATGACTTGTTGGGATTAGAGCTTCTGTGTTGCTGTAAGAATTTCAAACTAGCTGTTGTGTTGGGTTCTTCTCAGAAATTCATATAATTTCTGCTATGTTTCATAAAGACTATCTTGGAAAGCTTTTGCTGCATGTTTTCACATCCCTTGTGTTATGTAATAAAGTTAGTGGCTTGTTGTGATTTGGGGCTTCTGTATTGCTGTAAGAATGTCAAACTAGCTGCTGGGTTCTCCTCATAAATTCAAATCAAATTTGTTCTGTGATGTTTCATAAAGACTTCATCTCGGAGATCTTGTTTACTGTGATGTGTTTTAACAGTGTGTTATGTAATAAAGTTGATGACTTTTTGTGGTTTTGTTTTGCTTTACAGGTAATAGGATCAATCCTTGCGGTTAAACATATCCTTCACGTTTTCCCTGAGATTGGAAAAGGACCAAAGCTAAACGTAGCAATCCATCACGGCGCTCTAACCGAAGGGATACTAACCTTTTTCATAGTAACGCTCTCTCTGGGACTTACAAGAAAGATCCCAGGAAGTTTCTTCATGAAGACTTGGATTGCTAGTATCGCTAAGTTGACTCTCCATGTTCTTGGAGCTGATTTAACCGGTGGATGCATGAACCCAGCAGCTGTATGCACCCTAAAATAAGACTCTTTGTGGTTGTGGTTTTCAACTAGAACTTTGTTATAAGTGTTTTCTGTTGAAACCTTTGCAGGTTATGGGATGGGCATATGCACGCGGTGAACATATAACACAAGAGCATTTACTTGTGTATTGGCTTGGACCTGTCAAGGCTACCTTGCTTGCTGTTTGGTTCTTCAATGTTGTGTTTAAGCCTCTGACCGAAGAACAACAAGAGAAGCCTAAGGCTAAATCTGAATGAGGAATTATATCCTAGTTTTCTTTATGTGTGTTCTTATGTAGCAGACACAGTTGTATCAATCAGTTCTCAATAAAATCTGCATTTTAGCTAATCCAGTGTGCAATGTGATTGATAAGTATTTGGTTTATTACAGAAAAAAAAAAAAAGATGTTTCTCAGTTTCCATCATTCAATTACAAAAAAAAACCAAGAACTTGACACTGGCAGCTACTAATAAACAAGATTAGGCTCAAACTCAGCGAAATCAACAGAGCCAGACTCAACAGGAGGCATGAGATAAGCAGCCAAGATCTCAGAGACTAAACCAGCAATAAGAGGAACCCTCTTAAGGTTCTTGATGAAGGAAGGATCATCGGTTTGTCCTACAGCCATCAGCTTCTCATTGATCACAACCATTCTATCTAGCTTCCTCTTGAACTCAGGGTTCTCAACATCCAGCACAGCCGGGAAGATTCTTGCCGTGGTTCGGTTTGTCTGAAATAAAAGTTCCAACATTTTCAGACACACAGCTTACTTACTATTAATCTTGTGGTTTCAAAAGTTCTATTACCTCGATGATGACGTGCATGTCGAACTCCTTTGTGTTTAACCCAATACCCTCATAGAAATCAGTTCTTTGACAATCGTTTAGGTACATTGTCACATAAACCTGTAAAAACCAATCCTCTTACCGGTTAAGCCAATGTCTTAAACACACATTTGGAAGCGGAGAGTTAAGGATTACTCACAGAGAGGCAGAAGAAACGAGACCAGAGCTTGGCTTGCCAGTCATTAAGGAACTGAGGCTGAGCTTTCATCAAAGCAGAGAAGAAATCTCCATGACGGTTCTCATCTTGGCACCAGTTCTCAAAGTACTTGAAGATAGGGTAACATTGGAACTCAGGGTTTTGCTTGAGGTGTCTGTAGATTGTGATGTATCTCCAGTACCCGATTTTCTCGGATAAGTAAGTAGCGTAGAAGATGAACTTGGGTTTGAAGAAAGTGTACTTCCTTGCCTTTGTCAAGAAACCCAAGTCAAGAGCCAAGTTGAAATCAGACAAACCCTTGTTCAAGAACCTGCAACAAAAGTTTGTCATTAGAATTGAAAAACATTCTAGAAGAGGAGGTTTTATAGTTGAGACTTGAGAGATCTTACCCAGCATGTCTTGCTTCATCTCTGGACATAAGAGAGAAAATCTCAGCAACAACAGGGTTTGTTTTCTGCATTGCCATCAGATCAAAATATTAAGATCAGACAGATACAATGATCCATAAAACAACTTTCTAGCCTTTAAGCACAATGTAGCCAAGAAACACTAAACCAAGCACAACACTTTGAACACACAGAACTAAAACACACATAACTTAGTAGTTCAACATAGGCCTGGATATTTCGGGTGTCTATTTGGATGGGTTTATTTCGTTTTACGGATATCGAATCTGTTCAGGTATTTAAGAAATACCAGTGCTTTGACTTTAATTAGTTCATTTTATTTGGATTATTTTGGTTTGGATTACAAAGTTGGGAACCGGATAAGATTCTAGATAATTATCTTAATACAGTTTAAAATTTTGGATTAAAATCTCAAAGAAAAGATACCTTGAGCCTTCTACCAAGCTCCTTGTAAAGAAGGAAACCAGAGAACTCAGCAGTACAAGACCGCTCAAGAAACTCAACAAAGATCTGTCGGAGAGGTCCCTGCAACTTGTCAGCAGCTTCTTTAAACTCCTTGTTCCTCACGAAATGTGTCTGATTGTAATCAGTCTTAAACTCTTGAAGCAGAGCAATGAACTCTTCCTCGTTAAGGTTCTTGTTTATCTCCGTGTTGAAAAGCTGTTCCATCTCCTCGAAATCCGTCGTGTAGAACCTCGGAGTCAGAAGGGACTCTTGAATCTCTTTCTTCGTGCCCTTCTTGGACTTGGCGGTTGCAGTGGCAGGAGGAGGCGGCGAGGAGGTGGCTGACATTCTGATGACGGTGGAGAAACGTTGGCCAGAGAGGTATTTGCTCGGGTTGGTAAGTCTTGGGGATGTGAACTTGGAGATGGGTTTCACTAACGCCATTTCAGCAGCCATGGGTTCAGTTGCAGAAGCAGAGCAAGGAGCTAGAGGAAGAAGATGAGGCTGTGTGGGTTTTTGTAAGCCAAACATCTCATCCAATGAAAATCTGAACACTCATGTTAGCGCTTGACACGTGACGACATGCTATTGGTTATCTTGATTGCCTTGTCTTTTTGATAATTTTTTTTTTGGTTTAATTAACAAAAAAATGTGATGGATGAGAAATTAACACATGCAAAATGGTTCAAATAATTTCGAAATACAATTGTATACATTACAATTCGTGGTTCAAATCTTTTTAATAACAAAAATATGTGAATATAAATACAACTAAAATGAAAAAAAAATCTAATACACCTCTCAAACTCACAAACCCTACAATGTTTCTTATTTCTCTGGATTTTTTTCCTCCACAATTACATGAAACACAGTTAAAAGAATGACAGAACAATCTCCACTTCTTCAGCTTCAAGCCTTTTTTTTAACAAAGATAGTGTTAGGGATGAGAAAAGTGGTATCTTGTAAAGCAAGCAACACAGAAACAGAGAGGTTATGTTTAATTTTTATTACCTCTATTTACGAAGCATTGGTGAAGTAGATTGAGGAGAGCTTGCTCCATCTTCAGATCTTGCGTTTATGTTCATAACACTGTCCATACTCCATTTTTGGTCATACCCTTCAGCTTTTTCTTCATCATCAGTGGAGACCCCAACATGTGTCCCTGAATCACCTTCATCACTTGAAGATCTTGTTGATTCTTCTCCATTTTTCTCATCCTTGTTAAGATTATTGTCATTGGTGAAAAAGGGGTCAAAAGGAGGGTTGGTTTCCTCTTTCTGATGATGATGGTGGTGGTGGTGATGATCCTTAGCCTTCAAGTCATCTTCATCACAGTCATCCTCAAGGTCTTCATAGTTTAGATTCCTGAGAATCTCAGGGAGTGAGTAAGTTTTTCCACCCTCATCAACAATCCTTCCTCCTCCCATTTCGATATCGATCTTCTCTTTTGAGCTGACTAGACCTTCACCAAGATTTGATGTAGGAGTTTCAACCATCATGTAATCTTCTTCCTTCACAAATGATCTGAACTTGTTCATGGATGGAGTAATCTTAGATAGAAATATTTCCCTTATGTTCCCAAAAACTCCTTTGTTGTATGGATTCTCCTTCTTATCATATCGATAGCGGAAATTCTCATAAGTAGTCTGCACAAAACAGATTCACAATTAAAAACACACAAAGAACAAGATAGAAACACAAAGGATGGATCATTCTAATCACCTGGTTAGTGCATATGAGATAGGAATGAAATATAGTGAGCCCACCAACAAACCAAACGGTAACGAAGCAGTAAACTATGAGAATATCAGACAGAACATCTTTGGATATAGCTTTCCAGATGCTAATCCTCTCATCCATATGTCTTTGAAATATGTTCAACCAGGAAAACACAAACACATATATGCACAAAGTGGTTGATGTTGATATGAACATGAAGAAGAATCGGTAATTTCGCTGCAAAAAGGAGTTAAAAACATTTTCAAACACACATAACCTATATAGTACTCGAAGAAATCTAGAAGTAAATGCATTCACTAAACTTACCACGCCAATGCACTGGCCAACCCATGGGCAATGATGATCGAATCTCTGTACACAGTTGTTGCAGATGGAGCAATGAGAAGCTCTAGGTGGACGGTAAAGCAAACAAGTATCACAGAACTTGACTTTTACAGTATGGCCATTAACGGTTACATCTTTGACCCTTGGTAACCTTATATTTGGGGTTCTACCGCTAACCCATTCCATGGAAGGAGTAGTTGAGTCAGGTACATCATCTAATTCAGGAGGCCTTAAACTTCTAGGCACAATACCAGGATCTCTACCAGATGTCATGAAGAGGAAAAATATGTCCTGAAAAAGTAAACTACTGAAACTTTAGTCTCAGAAGACACTTTTCTATAGTTAAAGTCATCAGAAGAAGACATACCAAAAGAGTGAGTATCCAAGCGACAGAGAGAATAGGAATACATAGATTTCGATTCTTGGTGAGAGGATCAGCCATTTTCAAGTACATTTTTACAAAGAACATTACGGAGGGAGCGAGGATCAAGATGGTTGATAGATATAGAGATGATGCATCTGGACCAAAGATTAACCTCCCACCACATAGAAATTTCTGGAAAATTAAAAAAAAAAAGTCAAATCACAAATCAAGAAAGCATAGTAACCCACTAACCATGGCTCTGAAGTTTCCATATATGAGCCAATCAAAACTCAAGATACTAACAACTGAAACTAGCCAAAGAACTAATGAAGCCAGAGAATGATCTAAACTGAACCTATGACTTGGACTCAAAGGAATCCAATTAAATCTAATACCAAAGTGACATTAGAGAAGAACTTACATTGCTTCCCCTCCAAACTTGATAGAGTCTTTTGAGTTTGGTCTCATTCCAAGCCATAGTTTAAGGGGGAGAAATTGGGAAGAACAAACAACAAAGTTTAGAAATTTCGAAGAACCCAGAATCAGAAAAACATTGGAGAATCTATAGACAAAGATGTCAGAGATGGGATCAAATCAGGACAAAAACCCAGAAACAGGACAAATCTCTTGTTTCCTCCGAAGAAAGATTCAATACACTCAAGAGAGAGAGAGAGAGAGAGAGAGAGAGAGAGAGAGACAGGAAGATTGAAGCTGTCCTCTCCTCTCGAAATCACAAAGAAAAATTATTACAGATGTTTGCAAATTGTGATCCGTTTCTCTCTTTCTATCTTCTCTTTCTTAATTTATTTTTTGGAAAAGAAAAATACTTTTTTATTTGGTTGCGATCATTGAGTTAGTTGGTCGGACATGGTATGAAATTAAGAAAAGTGATTATGCGAAAAGGATGTCTGTAAGAAGGGATCTCAGTTTCTTGCTTAGTTTAGTCTTTTAGATTTATTTAATTATTCGTTTAAAGTATTGTTATAAGGTCGGCTAACTAAATCTAAAAATAATAAAGAAATGATGCAACAATGAGCTGTTAAAAGGCAAGTCAAATCATCCCCTCAACTAAACGTGCTTCCACATATTTGTTAGTGGTTCTATATCTATCAATGAGTTCAAAAGAAGTAACAATGTATCTTAACTATATTTTTATAGGAGTCTACAATCTAATACTTTTCAACATTCATAGCGTATAAAAGGAAGTCAATTTGATTTCAGATTACACAAAATCAGATGATGATAGTGATTAGTGAGATATTAGTAATACA